CACCTGGGCTCTGCCTGGATGATCCGGAGCGCATCCTGGGTGGTTAGTAGGGAACTACCGTAGTGTCGGGGTAGGTGTGACCGCAACAATAATTTCATCCCGGATCGTCCCGGATCATCCCGGTAACTTACCGGGATGGTCCAGGGTTCTGCCGGGAGTAAATGAGACCGAGGCTTAAAGTATAATACTGTTTTGAATTTGTAAAATACATGTAGTTTATTCATCTTTTATTTATAGAAAACCAACACTCGTCATGTAGTTCACGGTATTTAATATATGGTTATAACATATCTATTATTTTATCAAAATCTGATAATGTGAGAATATTTGGGAAATTATTGCGTACTTATCTCCACCTCGACAGATTGTAAATGTATAAAATAACATTGATCTAATGTAAGTGTAAAACATCTGAAAATTGACTAAATAGTCTCTTCAGCTAAATGTCTAGATAAATATATATATATTTAGCTGTAAATGAGTCTAAATGAAGGTATTTTTTGTGATATGATGATAATAATAATAATTATCATAATAATAATATAACACTAATGATATTATTACGACACAAAGCACGTAGACTTCATCCATCAAAAGCACCCGCATGTAAACGAATATGTTTTAATAATTGACTGGTAAATGCCTCTCTCTCTCTTGTGTGCGACGAAAACCCCAACAAATAAGAAAATAATAAAGTAAATGAATAAAAAGGAATTAATACAAAAATGTCAGATTGGCAACTTGATTCAGTGTAACTCGTTGTAGAGTACATTGCAATAGACCGGGCTTTGTTAGTCATTATATAGTACATTACTAACAAATGAAAAACGATTTCACGTTAAATCGTTATATATCATGAGTGAAACTATGGGCACAGTTTCTATTAGTACTTTGAATATTCACGGTGATAGGGCGTTTACCACAACTTTTCCGCGCAACGTCAAAATATCATACTTCTGACCGAGACACCGTATATTTCTGGACAAAATACTAATGGCGGGATAACCAAATTGCAGGTAATAGCTTACAAAATATCTTACTGCTGGACATTGCAAAATTATTCCAATTGTTCAAGTACTCCATCGAATTTTTGGAACAATTTATCGTTAATCTAGCACAACACAATTCACAAAAAAGTACATACTTCGAAGAAATAGTGTTTACAAAAGATCGTGTCTACCTCAACATGACTCGTACTTGTCACTAAAACGTGTGTTATAACGACGATGTATTTGTTCTATGACCTAACGAGCTCGTATATATATTATGGTTAAGCATAAATTCAAGTTCCATACAAAATTGTGTGTTTCTATTGTAAATTTTAGGGAATATATGTTGTAAAAAGGCCTATTGACTCGAATATTGGAGCACCGTACAACACTGAATTCAAACACCGCATTCTTTTTCCGTTTGACCGATAAATACTGGAACCGTTTTCATTTGCACCATCCTTTATTAGTAACTGTTAATTGACCTGTCGTTATGTTATGTTGCTGTTATCATATGTTATTTTATGGAAAACTTCTGAAGGTCTGGTTTATGTAAATAATACTAGTTAGATAAGTCGATATCTTTTCTTTTTTCGAACTTATTTAAACGGATAAACCCCACATGAAAAGATCATTCTTCGATGAGGTTACCAAGCATTGTGTTGTGGAAAGTGTTTCTTTCAATAATCATTTCCTAACTGTTTCAGATGATTCCGCCGTGCATGTTGCCAAAATTATTTTGTAGGTTTCATCGGTTGACATTAAATCGGTTATAGGATTTTTTAATGTAATTGTTGATGCAAATTATAAGATGAATTCTACTGAGCGTTTTAAAAGTTTGTTTTTACGAAAACCCGATATGAATTGGATTTCCGTATTTTTTAATCGTGCACTGAACCATAAAGTTTGCATCGGTTCACCACCTTGTACATGTATATACTATTAAACTGAATCACATTTTTCACTTGATTTTTGAATTTATTCACTTTTCTTTATCCCTTGCATCACAGTAAAGTGATTTTATTATGTTTTATTCTGATTGGTTATCCGAAACTCATGATGTCCAGTTACGACCATGGAAATGTATTGGAACATTTTTTCTTCACGGAAACGATTTTATCAATGCTTGGTAACCTCATCGAAGAATGATCTTTTCATGCGGGGTTTATCCGTTTGAATAAGTTCGAAAAAAATCTATATAGATACCATTGCACTTACCTAACTGGTATTATTTTCATAGACCAGACCTTTAGAATTTTTCCATAAAATAACATATGATTATAACAGCAACATAACATAACAGCAGGTCAATTAACAGTTACTTATAAAGCATAGTGCAAAAAAATGGTTCCAAACGGAAAAAGAATGCGGTGTTTGAATTCAGTGTTGTACGGTGCTCCAATATTCGAGTCAATAGGCCTTTTTACAACATATATTCCCTTAAATTTACAATAGAAACACACATTTTTGTATGGAACTTGAATTTATGCCTAACCATAATATATACACGAGCTCGTAAGGTCATAGAACAAATACATCGTCGTTTTAACACATTTTTTTGTGACAAGTACGAGTCATGTTGAGGTAGACACGATCTTTTGTAAACACTATTTCTTCGAAGTATGTACTTTTTTGTGAATTGTGTTGTGCTAGATTAACGATAAATTGTTTCAAAAATTCGATGGAGTACTTGAACAATTGGAATAATTTTGCAATGTCCAGCAGTAAGATATTTTGTAAGCTATTACCTGCAATTTGGTTATCCCGCCATTAGTATTTTGTCCAGAAATATACGGTGTCTCGGTCAGAAGTATGATATTTTGACGTTGCGCGGAAAAGTTGTGGTAAACGCCCTATCACCGTGATATTGATAAAAACAACAGAAATAAATAATTTTAATACTCTTATTAATCATTGCTTGAATGAAAAATAATGATTAAAAAGTTTCATAGTGGTTTAGTTTGAACATGTGTATGAAGAAAAACTATATTTCGTTCTAGAACATTTTATTATCTTCTATATAAATATATGTATTACCAAAGCCATGTTTCTCACACTTGCAAACAACATCCATAAATAATTATTTCGTGTTTTGTTGTTTTGTTTATAATTAAATCAACCCAATGATTTATTGTACTAAAGACCACTCAAGCACTCAAGAAACACATAACACCACATAATGGAACGGTTTTTACTAAGTCAAGGGCAATTACTGTGAAAAAACAGAATAAATCCACAAGCAAAACCCCAGGTGTACAATTCCACATGCTAAGCAACATCCCTGTAAAGTAGAGCTATGTGAGACTCGTGCAAGTTGAAAATTGCAAATATCTACTAAGTCAAAGGCAATAACTCTAAACATAACAGAATAAACCGGCAAGCAAAGCCAAGGTGCAAAACTTCACATACTGAGCAACATTTCTTAAATTTTCATGACTACTGTAGTCAAATACTTTTGAGCTACGTGCGACACAAGCTGGAAATAGCAAATTTTTACTAAGTCAATGGCAATTAACTCTACAAATACTGCATAAATCCACACCCAAATACCAAGGTGCACAAATACACATGCTGACTAACATTCCTGTTAGTGTCATGACTCTAGGTCAAATACTTTATGAGGTACGTGCGACAAAACATGAGAACGAACGGACGGACGGAGGGACGAGGGTAAATCTAAATGTGCCCCCTATAGTGGGGACACAAAAACCTAAAATAAATGAAAACAAAACCAAAACTCACAATGAGAAACGATTAAACAAGCCTATACTGTATCTATCATAATAAAAATAAAATGTTAACACTTACATTTCCCCTTACTGAACAACAGCACTGTCAAAACACGGCTTAATTCCAATAGAATCACTTTCTGTGAGTAACAAAAAACCCATGTGAGAGCGTGAAACATCTTATCACGCAACTCAAGGTCCGTGAATTAAGGAAATTAATTTAACAAATGACACAAAAATTCGATAAATTCAAATGCACAATCAATTATCAAATATGAATACAGTACAGTTCCAATAACTTCTTATATAATCAAAGACTGTCGTTTGGTCGATATCATGTTTGACAGGTGCCAAAAGCTTGCTATATGAAATAGACATCAACTGATGTTAATTTCAGACTAATACGGAAGCGTCCTGGTGCCAATATTTAACATGTTCCTACGTAGGACTTTTAAACTCCTACGTAGGACTTTAAAACTCCTAATTAGGTTTTTATATCTCCTACGTAGGACTTTAAAACTCCTAATTAGCCTTTTTTATCTCCTACGTAGGAGTTATAAAGTCCTACGTAGGAGTAACAAAGTCCTACGTAGGAGTTATCTTTTTTAATAGAACATGTTAAATTGGCACCAGGACGCTTCCGTATATACCTCATGTTTGTAGTATATATGGTTAGCTATTTAGTACATAAGTAAATATTAGTAAATAAATAAAGTTTATAACTGCAAATCACAATATGTCGCGGTACTAATTTTGCACATGTTTGACTTGTCAAAAAAGCGGGTTAAAAATTTTTGCAAGGGAAGGGAAACAATTCGCACAAAAATAACCTGGTCACACTTGCAGAGTACTCGCCCCGCCAATACATTACTAATAATTATGCATAATGATTTTGTTATCTACATATAATTATGAAATACATATTTTATTCTAATGTGATTGACATTCGCCATGAAATAACTTCTCGGTAAACATACATACAATTGTATATATATTTCTAGGTTAAGAAATCACGTGTCTCACTTTTGCACTATTTTATGTAAATCGACTATAATTTTGTTCTTACAATTTTTATTTCGAATAGAATTTATGTTCGGCGTGTCAATTTGCCGAACTAATGTTTCAAAACTCTTTTTTGTTCTCTAAAATTGTTTCTTTTTTTTGGTGAGATTATATGCTACTTAATCGATAAAAAGTAGATAAATTTACAAAACAGAAACAACAACAACTAGAATAACAACAACACATATAAAGAAACAATTACGATTTCTTGATTTTATAGATCAGCTGCCACCGGATGCTTTAGATCCGACTGGACATTCTAACCACAACAATGAAGCTGGGATCATGTTCGGTATCCCTAACCACGGTCTTCCGGCAATCGGTATTGATCCTACACACGGTGGGCCGCAACCTATTGTAGGTCCAGACATGTACGTTGGTCGACAACCGTCAGATGGTAACGTTGTTCAACATAATGGTAACATGCACGGAAATCCAGTCCCCGGTATAGATAGTTACATTGGCCGGAAGCCAGTTGTAGGTGCGGCACCGCTTGTAGATAACACACACGGAGGAACGCCAGTCAACATGGATAGCTATGACGGTAGACAGCAAGTTGGAGATTCTGGACACCTTATTGGTGGTTCACATGGTGAATTTGCTTTCGTTATTAATATTTATGTCGGTTGACACTTTTTCACAGAAGTGTTTTTGGCTCAGATTTTATTTGTTTCAGTGACTTTTATAAATTTGTGTACATATTATGAATTAACTTTCTCAGTAATCTTAACTCATAATTTTCCTTGAAAAAAAACAAATAAATTAACATTAAGTTCTAAACTGTTAAATACATGATTTAATTATAAATTTCCAAGCAAATTAACTTTGAGATTTATATACACTACACATTGTATGAAGTCAATAGATTCTGATCGGAAAAAGTCATATTTATATTTTGATTAAGAGATATATTCACATTGTCTTTCACAAAGTTACTATGAAAACTTTGGTCTGATGGAACACATTTGCAAATTTATTAAATGTATTGCAGGTCAATTGTTGCCTGGTACACCAACTTTTGAAGAGCACGTGGGTGTTCCTCTAGGAGAGGCTGTTATTGGACAGAATGGACTCCAACAACTGATAGGTGTGCAAACCGTTGATCCCCATAATGTAGGTCCTTTAAGAAAGTTAGGACGAGGTGGAAGACGGCAACAGGGTAATAGGTTCAATAGAAACAAAGGACAGAGAAATAAAGGGGGAAGAATTGGTAGAAGAAATATGAGAAATAACAGAAACATAGGAAATAACAGAAATGTAGGGAATAAAAGGACAAACAACTTTAGAAAAGGGAATAAAAGAAATCAAGTTCAGATACATAGACCTGGGGCGAAAAGACGCGGTCCAATTATAAGAACTCCAAACATGCAAGATGTTGGTATTGATTCTTTGCCAATTGATAACCCAACAGGAACACAGCATCCTCAAAAAAGTTGGAATCCAATGAATGGTTTACAAGTTGGACAACCAATTGATCCGACAGTTCATGGATTTGATGCACATGATGGAGCTCAACATATTTTGGATCCACTAGGATCTGGTATTCAGGTATCTCCGCATTCTTTTGACCCAATGACAGATTTGTCAGGGCAGTCGGCCAATGTAATACAGCACGATGCGGCTTTTCACCATGAACCTGCGAGCATTGTTCTAGACGAGAGAATGCCAATTATACAACACGATACCGCACAACATGGAATGCATGTAGACAATCTGTCAAATGGTATGTCTGACACAAGTCTACCAAACAAACAACTTGGTAAACAAAAAGGTAAAAATAATCAAGGTAATAAACAAAAGGGTAAAAATAGGCAAGGTGGTCAACAAAGAGGTAAGAATAAGCAAGGTGGTAAACAAAAAGGTAAAAATAAGCAAGGTGGTAAACAAAAAGTTGTTTCACATTTAATTGACATGACAGTACCCGATATTAACAATAGTCCAATGTTTGATCCTCAGATGACTATTAACGCAAAGAATCAAGGTAGAAATAATAGACCAAAGGTCAACAAAAAAGGTAGAAATAAATGGAAGAAAGTAAAAGGTCAAAATAAAAAGAAAGATCCGAAAATGAGAGAACCTAGAAAGTTTAAACCAGTGGAAATTCAATCAGTTGTAACACAGGAACGGAAACCCACCACTCCAGACACATCTGGCATGATGAGAATTGCAGGATTAGGTTTTCTGGATTTATCTGGATAAGGATTTGTGAGCATACTAAATTACTGATTTAAAGATGACCATGTGTTAATTTATTTGTAAAATTAAATTATTCGATCAACTGACATTTATCAGGAAACTCGAACTTTAACACGAAAGTGAAAAAAGCTGTGCGGAAATACTATTAAAAATCCCTCACTAAGATTGTACAAAAATGTATACAATATGTGATTCAAAAATTAATCTTTCCACATTAAATCACTTAAATGAACTTGTCTATCTATTAATCTAGACAAAACCATTTCATTGTATTTATGGACATTTAGGGACAATTTGTAATGATTGAACAACGAATAGTGCAGAACGTGATAAGATAGCACGGAATTGCCGACTGATCTTGGACAGCACTGGAAACAATTGACTTAAGTTAAATAAAACGTTGATTAACTGTTTTCATTATTGCTTTGTTATCGGGGTTAATACAGTCATATCAATATTTCTTTTAAATACGCACATTTTTTGTGCTTAATGTGTCAACAAATGCTCACGACATGACAATAACATTGCCATCTTAAAGCTTGTTGCTATGGTTTTCATTACCTTATTTATCAAAATTATGACGAACTTGATGTTTGTTTATATGCAAAAATAGCTCTTGCTGCGTAAGTAACACAGTAGAAATATGGTGAAAATATTGCAAAAAGTCAAATTGTCATGTAAATTATTACTAATATATTTAAGGTTTTTACTTTTCTTTAAAATTTAGAAGATCTTTCTCAAGTTTGATTTTCATGAAATATCTTTGGTCATATGAAGTCATGCAGCTTTTAATAAAAGATATCATCCACGAGACATTTTTTATAAATAGATGGTTCTGCATGGTACAATTTTATTTTAATTTAACTGTAAAATTCCAAATTACGAAACGAATTATAATTAACGGAAAGGCGTAGATATCATCCGGTCTTTGGTGATCTCATTCACTTGTCGCCACATGTTTATGTATCTACATGTAATAATATTTTTGTTGAGCAAATAACTAAAATTATCATACATCCTGTGTAAAAGATGGGAATGCATTAAGTATAAATATATTCTTATATTAAAAAGCACGTTTTTGTATCATAAAAAAACATACGCTCAGTGTACAATTATTACTGGATCAAACCCTCGCACTAATTTCTATAAAAAATGTTTCACTTGCGAACATTCTCAACGCATTCAAACTACATAATTTTAGTATGTGTTTTCATGTGTTTTACTCAGTCGTACTACTTTTTAATGGTTCAGGCGGATTCTTTGCGCATTGATACAGAAATCATATATATATCACGTGTCCTGACATAATCAATCGGGTGACATTGCGTATATTCGGCCAACCGAACACGACGTGTTAGATCCAGTATACAGTACTCGCATTCTTTATAAGAATACATTTATTGTTATTATTTTTTATTTACATACTTCAAAAAAGTATGTACAATGTATTGCATTTTATATATGTATGTAAACGCTTTAATAAATCTGTATATCAATATACTTTGTTCAATTTATGTTATTTATGTTATCCTGGCTGAACTTATGCAACATATCACTTTTGGTACATTGACCAGAGTCAGATACAACGATATTTCAATTCCCTTTATTTTTTTTCTCTGCAGCATGTTTTAAAAGAATTGATTATATCAATTTTATCGACAGTAAGAAATTTTGTTTGATACTAGTGAAACGTGTTAGCGTACTCTTTGTTCTTAAAGCTACAGTTATGCGGCTCATGTGCCCTGTACCTCCACAACTTACACGCTCTGAAGAAAATATGTTTGATATGGTGCACAAGATTATTTCCGCTTCTATCACTTAAGTATGCAAAGATACTGTACCAGATTTTACGGATGATAAAGAAAAATGACACATATGTAAATTTAAGATTTTTGTTTTATTATATTTTGCTTGAATACAAAATAAACATTGATATTTCTAGAGTAATAAAACATGATAACACAAACAATGCAATACAAACTTTGTACATTGTTAAAAAAGTATTTTGAAAAACATGTCCTTCCAGATTGACGAAATAAGTTCTCCTAAGAATATAAAAAACAAGAATCCTAGTCTCATGTTGCCTCAATCTTCATCCGTATCATTTCCTTTTTCAAGTGAGTAGATTTTTATATAAACTTGAAGCTTGGTATTTGGAAAGTGCTAAATTTTGGCGCCAAAATTGTTTCTCTTCCATGTGTTGTGACGTCATACACATTTTCTCCGCTCGCCCCTAGTTTCGCTCGCATGATAAATCTAATGACATGCTAAGCAAAACTAGAAACCAGTGGAAAAGACTTTAACACATGACTGTATTATCCCTCCATGTACTTGTACACCTTTAATTCTGAAAATAAAGGAAAAAAGTGTCTTTTATTGTAAAGTGCGCATACGCAAACGGCTTTTTAGAAGACGCATTTTCTTTTTCTTTTCAGGGGATGGAGTTAATACGTTGCTGTCATAAAGTATTATTTCATCGAGTATGTTTAAGGAACGGTACATGTCATTTTAAACTAGCAAACTCTAGTAGCCAATTAATACCAATTCGTTTTCACACAATTAAATGATTTTGCAAAATTGAGCGAGCATGTTTAAATTCCGAATAATTTCTAAGCAAAAGCTTAAAAATCTTACTTCAATTGTTGCATTTGTAAAATTATATTGGTAGGAAAAAAACAATATATAAAATATGAAATTGAAAGAAAACGGAGAGTTGTGGGGAAATATTTTCATTTATGTAAAAAGATGAAGTTTCTATGATTTTAAATTTAGATATAGAAATACTGTATAGTGTTTGTTGCGATACTGTTGATATATAGAAGATATATTTAAGTTTTTTTTTCTAAATACAAGAATTATTTTCATCGAGTGGTACGAAAATAAATTTTTAATGAGTGGTTATATAGATAATTTTCATACCACATTTTTCTGACGTTACAATTTGAAAGACTTTCCATGTGTGTATTGTCTGAATTTAGAAGAAAGTATTCTGGCAGCATAAAAGTGAAAATACGGAAAAATATGCTTCACTGTAGTGAAAAGTAATTTTTTACAGTGAAATTACAGAAAATGAAAATACGTACTTTATTTCATCAAAATTTCTTAATATTTCATTTATACGTTAATATGTTCTCTCTGTTAAATTTTTACTTGTCTTATTTGTTAAGCTGGTTTCGATGATTTTCTGTGGAAACTTTTATCAAGCTATTTCAAAACGAATTATTTCTGTGGCGTACAGTTACATCATCAAGTCTTATCATATTAATAATTTGCTCTTTTACCGCTCATATTGTTTATAGAGCAATATGATAGAGAATATAGCACGCTATTTAAGCATTTGTGCAGGAAAAAGTTTTCAAAACGCGTCAATTTTCCACCATGAACCTTCTTACCGTTCTAATCAGTAGTATTATTTGTATTAAGTGGGTACATGTTATACTGTTTAAGAGGTAATAAGAGTTAAGAATTTAGCCGTCTTTTAACAAATAAAGCATTTGTGTTTTACTTTTTTAACCTGGATGTTTTCAAACCCGGAAGAAGTTTTCAAAACGAGGCAATTTTTCACAAATCTACTTACTGCTCTAATCACGTGATTCGTTGCGGTATGAATATTACAATTATATCAGTCTTTAAATTGAAAATATCATTAATGTAAGTGACATTACTGTGTTGCAATGAAATAGTTTAAAATACTTCAATGTTTTTTATCAAGTAGTTTTGATTTTACTGAGGACATGACTGCGCAAAATATCTAATTCTTATATTTTGATTTATACATGAAATTATGAATATATGAATTATTTGTATTATCTATAATAAAATTCAGCTTAAAAAATATCGTTGGAGTTCATAAAACCTTGTTTTCTGAAGAACTATTCCAATTTTGTTTAAAAAAACCCAGAAGCTGCGCAAACCTAAAAATTTAATCGAAAAATATAAAATGTAGTACGACTTACTGTTATTGCCAAAGCTGGAATGTCGGGATAATGTCGTTACCGAAAACTATGACGGTCACGAAAACATGACTCCTTTATAAGAATATTTGTTGCAGACTTGTGTTTTACCTACCGGATTGGATACTTATATGGCGAGCAGTTGCGAAGTAAGTGGCGATATCGAATGATAATTGAACGAGAACTGGCCACAAATAGAGCGGTAATTTGTGATAGTTTTGTCGTAGTTTATAGTCCAGGTGCCGGGTAATTAGAGGTAGTGATAACTAATTCGATCAAGCAGGTGAAAGGGATGAAGAAATTGCAATAACAATGGTGCCTTTTCTGTTAATTTAACTTTGTTGCATTTTTTATTTAGAACTGTAACTAATAAAGTTTAAAACCAAAACGTTTTTAGATTCATGGTCTTGACTGTGTTAACAAAATACCGTATTTTTTTATACTTTAAGAGCTTTTATGTGTTCTTTTTAAGGAGAGCTCAAAATATCTGAAACATAAAATTTTAATTTTTAAAAAGATCATCAAATGATACATTAAAATGGAAAAATCTGCAAAGGATAATAAAGTGTATATTATTAAATTGAAAATTAATAGTAAGTGGAATTCTTAGTCCGATTTCTGTTAAAAGAGTTATAACGCTTTTCATGGTTGGAGCATTTTGCACAATAGGAAATATGGGACGAGGGAATCTTAAAATTTGCACACAAGTTATTGTTTCAGACCTACATGATATAACTTGAGAAAATATTTTTTTGTCCCGTCATGACAAAAAAGACAGTGGAGTTCCTTTATATATTTGTTATTATTTAGATTCATAAGAAGCGTATTTATGTATAGGTATATGTATAAGTAAGAATTTACAAAATTAAATTGGCCAAGAACGGCGCTCAAAACTTATTTTATATTTTTTATTTCATGTTGTTTTTTTTTATATTTTATTCTTGGTTTCTTTTAAACAGGTTACCTTTTTAAGACCATTCGGAAAAAGAAAATGTAAAAACAACTCTTTAACAATTATACATTGTACTTATTAGCTTGACAGGAAGTCTGCTAAATGAAAAAAAAAACACGGAAAAATAAAAGCCTTTCTTTCATTGATTCCATAACAAAACAAAATCCAAGGGCATTGAACTCATAAAATAAGACTGGAAACGCAGAACTTGTGTTCGCTGAAAAGAAAAATTGTTATCATATTAGAAGATCATGAAAAATTTAAAGATTTTTTATCTTTTCTAGGAAATTCTGTTTTATGTTTTCGATCTGCCTTTCTAATTGAAACTAGCAAAACCAATAAACAAGCAAGCAGTTGCTTTATACTTGACGGACTTGTAGGCTGTAATTCAATAAAATTTACTAAAATAGCATGAATAAGAATTTTATAATAAAATATTTTGTTTCTTCAAATATTAAGGAAATTTACAATTGATCCAAAAATTGGTCTTGATTCTGAAATTTATCCGATGATTTTTATATTTATATTATTACCGTTCCTTATATGTGAAAAATAAGATTGTGTCTTTGCAAATCAGCTTTGTTTCACATTTTTTTTACGTGTCATTCAATTTAAACATAATACGACCAATTTTAGTTTCACAAAGCAAAGAAAATCAAATCAGGATCATTGCTTATTTTACGGTATATACAATCTGTGTAGATATGGATTGTCATGTACAGGTTATTTAAGGGACGCAACTTGTATTGTCTTGTTATTTCATATTTGTCAGTATAAATGCCAGAGTTATCTATAGAACAGTCTATGAAAACAAACAAAATTTATCAGTGCACTTCCTCATTCTTGTGAATTAAACGAAATAAAATCAAAACACTAACGTCACTATAAACCGTTTGTATGATAAGGAAGTAACATCAAAATTAAAAAAAATATATCAAGGCTCAAAAGGAAAATCAGCTATGCCACAGATTTTATATCATATGATGAAATAGGGACAAAAATGAAGTGTGCCACAAGAGCCCCATAATCGTAGTTATAACTGTTGGCTGAAAAGTGTGTCATTGTGCGTTTATCTCAAGTACTGTGTCGGGACGAAAGTGGTCACACTATTACCATTGTTTGATCATGTCAAAAAAGCAAACAATGAAGAATAATATCATATGCACGAAAGACCGGTAGGGCCTTTTCAACTTCATGAATTCCAGATTTCATCTTCATAAATTCACAATTTAAACTCCGTGAATTTCCGTTTTCAACATACGGAATTCACGAATTCACGATTTCAGCTTCATGAATTCACTATTTCAAGTTCACGAATTCACGATTTCAACTTCACGAATTCACGATTTCAACTTCACGAAGTTGAAATCGTGAATTTCAACTTCACGAAGTTGAAATCGTGAATTCGTGAAGTTAAAATCGTGAATTCATAAAGTTGAAATTGACTTCCGAGAAGTCATGAAGCTGAAATCGGGAATTCATCGAACAGTATTAATTTATATATAATTAAATTAACAATAAAATCTTTATCAGTAATCATAATAAGTTACGGAAACTAACGAAATACCTCCCGAAAATTAATAAGTCTCAGGTCAATATTGCCAAACAATACTTGCTTGTTTTATAATGATAACAGTTTCTTGACAATATTGCTAAGCAAGTTTACTTCAAATATGATGTTTTATTATGAATAAATATTATTCAACTTATTGTTTCTCTTTTCTTTATACTCGAACCATTAAACTGATATTTTCTTATGTTCATGATAAATCATTTTTCTAACCGCCGACTTGATGCTTTAGCTTGTCAGCAATCTGTCACTATAAATAGATTTTATAACAATAACATACAACGTGTAATCACGTGATTCTTACAGAGGAACGGGGAGAATGTGGTTATATAATTAGATAAGATAATGAAATATAATAGGTCTCATAAGATATAAACAACCAAATAATTTAAAAGTGTCATTTCAAATATCATTCATAATTTATATTTCATAAAAAAGCAACGCTTGACACTTAGAAAAAAGTAAAATAATCCCTAAAGTCAATGACTGGTCCATAGGGATACATTATTAATTCATTTTATGAAAATTGTAATGTTGCTTTTTATGACGTCAATATTTTTATATTTCATTTCATTGAGCAACGTTATTTTATGTTTGAATTTTTAAGATTATGAACAATAATTGTGGTCGTTACGTGTTACTACAATTGATTTGCTTTTATTTTCATATTTTAAGGCCTTCTTCTACCATAGATATATTATTAAACTGTTACAAATATAGTCGCGGGTTTCTTCCGGCGACTTGACAGCTAAAACATTGTACAAAAAAAAAGAATGTGTTCTTATTTTCTCGCGGATGTCACATAATTTATCTTTAAAAATCTTTCAAGTAGGGTTTCTACATAATGCAAGACAAGAGAATATGATACTTGCATCCTATATTTTTAAACGCCTCACTGCACTTGAATGCAACAGAACGGATAGTATGACGATATTTTGGTGTAACCTAGACTTAAAACTAGACATGTCAACAAAAAGTATGTAAATATTTGGATTTGTTTAGTAAGTTTACTTTAACTTATGGTGTTCAAATTCACATTAATTAAGTAATTTTTGATATACTAGTAAAATGTACATATTTTAACTGAATTATGTTTTAGAAACCGAAAGTACATATATTAAGGTTATTCAGCATTGTTACTAAGCGGGTCCAAAGTGAGAGTAGGCCAAAATTATGGTGGCTGATTTATGCCATTCGTGTTTTCGCCCCGCGATCCTACCAAATCAACAATTGCGGGGCGCGGGGCGAAAACACGCTAAGAAGAGAGGGCGCTGGGCGAAGTTACATAAATAAAACTTCGCTTCGCGCTCCCGCTAATAAGCGTGTTTTTGCTCCGCGCCCCCACCGTTTTATTGCTTAAATCTCGCTCCGCGCCCCCGCGTGGCGACGATTAATTTATTAAACTTCGCCCCGCGCCTCCGCTTATTGGCGTGTTTTTGCTCCGCACCCCCGCCAATCTCGCTACGCGCCCGCACCAGGACTGGGAATCAAAACTGCGCCGTATCCTTAAAAACGTAAACAAACGCCGCCATCTTAGAACGAAAAACGTATGTTTGTGTCTATTACTCTTTTTGTTGGAAATGGCTGTAAACCAGATATATGTATTAACACGCTACACAATTTTCCGCTTCGTTCGGTACATGCTGCTTTCACAACTATTTTGGCAATCAAAATTATAGCGAACTTGCAACTTGAAGCGGACCAGAATTTTTATGAAGTTTTGTGGATACGATGCAGTTTATATTTTCTTGCATATCAGACAGGATTATCTACCGTTTCGGTGGTGCTAAAAACCCTGTCTTACACCCCCATGTAAGACAATTCGCGTGATTTAATTGAAGTCATTGCCGCGCGCCTTTATGAATGAATAGCGTTCTAAGGATGACGTCATTTTACCGTTATGAATGAAGTTTGTCAGTTCATACGCTACTATAAGAAAAAAATGCGTAATGAAAATATCAGTTTTCGTAATTTCTGTTCCGAAAATAAATGACATTTAATACATAGGCACTTGGTTTCGGGATAAAAAGCCTTTTAGAGGTTTGTAGAACTCAAATTTGATTGAATGTTACGATTTTTTTAACGTAGATGTCTCTTTCCTAAAACCGTCATTTTTCCGATAGTAATATCGGAAAAATGACGAATTTAGAATCGAGACATCTACGTTAAAAAATCGTTACATTCAATCAAATTTGGGTTCTACAAACCCTTCAAAAGGCTTTTTATCCCGAAACCAAGTGCCTATGATTTAATATGCAAGAAAAAGAATCAAACAATGGCTGTCGGTACAGACGGGAATATCTAGCTCTCGGGTAACTGTTTAGCGGAAACTCGGCAGAGCCTCGTTACCGTCGTAAACTGTTACAGTTACCCTCGAGCAACATATTCCAGTCTGTACCGACAGCCGGTGTAAGATTCTGATAGTATTATCCATCGTTTTTTTTTTTCAAATCAATAATATACTCGTATCAGAGCTAACCATAAATTTCAAAAAATAATTTTACATCATTTACTAAAATTTCTTTAAAAAGAAATGTTTATTTTGAAAGAAAATAATGATTTGTGCTAAATAGAGTTTCGAGAAATTAAAATTTAAAAAAATGACGTGAAAAAAATTATGTAGATCGGTCTATAGTTGCGTAGCTAGCCTGCTTATTGATTCCATAGGTATGCTTACGATGTAACTTTAGTCAAATATATGTTCATACAATCAAAGGCGAGTAAAGCACATACATGTAAAAGAAAAAAACACGGGAAGAAATTTTAGCGAGAAATTTTCTATTGTGTTTTTTATTTCTAATACAAATAATCAATTTTTAAGTAGGTTATGTTTGAATTACCATAAAAACTCAATTTATACCACCCTATGCGGATTTTATTAAGGATAATCATTTTTAAAACTTAAAAAACAAAATGTTATTATGCTTATAAACCTCACTGAACTTTATGTTTGTCTGGAACTTTTGTAGTACAAAGGAATACGTGTCAGCCTTTTCATTTTAATCCTGTAGTTGTTTGTCATTGTATTAGTCTGTCACATTCATTTCATCTTCATTTGAAACTGTGTAGAATTATCTGAGTCCTACAAATTTGATCTTAGCAGCATACAATATCCCACAACTATCATCACAAACCAAACTCAACTTTATTTTAGATAACATTTTTAATCAAATTTAAGTCCCTAAAGATAGTAGATTTACAAGATATAACACAAAACAAAGCTATATAAACATATTTCATTGACTATAGAAATGAATTGCATATTTCTGCAAACAATGACATCTTTTATTGTATTTTATAATAGTTTCATCTATATATACATACAGAACAGAGATAAAATTACAATAAAAACAAAGTAAAGCCATATGAGAGAATGTTCTTTCTTCTTTTTTTCTCATTTTGAACTTTTTACAAAACTAAAATATGTTTCCACTCTTGCTTTAAATAAACCGTAATTTTCCTGTTCATTTGTAAATATTTGTATGCGATACAAAATCCTGCATGTTATTTTTCTTTTTTCTAAGGTTTTGACTTGAATTTCTGCCAGACTAGTAAGGCATTAATTTTAACTGCGTAATAATATAACTAAAATATATCGGATGAATTTTAAAGAGTAAAATTATGTTAATACATGTATTAACATAATGCACGTCTAAATTTTTATTTTTTATGGACCTATAAGTGATCGCGTATCAATAAATTTAAGGTGTGGTTTTGATGCTATAGATTATTATTACACTTAAACATTTAATCTGCTGTGTTCGTTTTATGGTCATACAGATCGTTTAAAAAAAAATGAAACAAAAATATTGTTTTAAACATCTTAATTAGAATAGAGATACCTGGCTATGATTTGTTTTTCTAATGGTTAATACGTTTTATAGCAATATTTTCCTTGATTATATCTCATGTCATCCTCGGTAACCCATGCGGTTTACCGTATACATGTATTAAATGTAGTATATTCGGAATGTGTACCGTGGTTTCCGACGATGATCTCATGTCTAGGTATATTGAAAAAGGAAACAAATGAAAAAACAGTTAACCATCTTGATTATAATAGAGGTATATGGCTATATTTTGTTTTCCTAATGGTAAATAACTTTTTTTTAATTATTTAATAAAAGCAATCTTCACGTCAGACTTCATGCAAATAGGACACTTTGGCCTAAGGGACTGTAATAGGCGTATACTCAAAATAAGCCAAGGTACGCCCCTGTTCTCCTTTAAAGCCTATAAAGGAAAATAGCTTTATCGACATCTTCAGAAAATTTATAATCCATAACTCTGATTGTTCTTGAGAGTACTTAAATTTACATGCATGTTAACATGGTACATAGCTTTGAGATTAGATATTTGGCATGAAGTATTTCCAACTTGACCCTTGCAAAAGGTATACAAATCATGTACTTATCGCTATGGGATTCACATTCGATAATAATCTAGAGAAAAGTTTTACTTCTGTCTACAACTTTGAAATATTTAACCCAATTTGTTTGTGAAATGGAACTTTGAATTTGGGTAAACTTGTTTTACATTTTCACTGAACACTTTCTTATAAATATTTCAGGTGAACGATCTCATGTCATTATGAAACCCTATTTTATGATTTAGCCTCTATCATAAACGCACCAGATGGCAAGTTATAAAAATCTCCGTAACCCCTTATTCCGAAATTGGGTAAGAGGTGTTTATGCTTTGAGGTATCTCCAATACGGATTGAGTGAATTTATTGACGATACTGCAAAAAAGCACCACAACAACCTTTTAGGCAAGTTATCAAAAGGGCAGGTAATAGCGAACACGGGTTGTAACAACTGCTCTACTGTCAACCTCCTTCCTGACCATCCCACACGTCATTGCATTCAACGAAATCGGCAAAAATGCTTGTGTAAAGACTCGCATGGCAGGCGAAAGTGTCCAAGTAATTGTTGTAGCCGGTTGTATGATCACATCATCCTTGATCATGAAGAAAGAAATCCTATTTGGGAGAACTCCGATCTCCAAAGTTGGTGCAGTGACTACTTCGAAGTTGCGAAATTATATTTAGGAATGCAGGGACATATTGATGTACATACATGTGCTCAAATAGATGTGTCCGGCCTTCTAACTATAGCCATAAACAACATCTTCTTTAAAGACTACATTGAAGATATTGCCAAATTTAAAAAGGTAAATGAATTACATTAATATTGATTTTTACTTTAAATATTTTACTTACTCGACAAACACTGTATATACATATTCCATATATTTATATTACAAAGTGTTTTGCCTGTTCAGTTGGGTAATATATAGTAAGGTCTTATATATGTAAAAGCATTTAACTGTTATTCTACGAAATTTGCATGAGCCATTTCTTTTTGTGTTAGACTTAGAGTGCCGTAAAGCCAAAACACAGTTAAGAAAACCTTACTTAGCATTTTATTAAGTGATGCACAGAAGTGCGTTGTCTTGATCGCCTACGGTCTCTACCTGATTGAAGGCATTACTTTTCCCTTCAACAAAATTCTTTCTTAAAAGGGTAGATCTAAATAGAAAATACATGGTTGATGTTAAAGCTCGCCAAGATACACTTTCTCGCTCACCGGATAAACCTTCTCCATCCCGATATCAACCATGTATTTGATTTACCCTGCTTTTTATCAGGTTTTAGAATAATTAAATGGTTTCATTCTTCTTTTTTCCCCCGCTTTATCCAGCTGGTGATATAGACAGTAGCAGGATAAATTAAAATGAAATACTTTTAAAACATTTCACACGTTCGATTTTGTACAATTTTACCAGGCACGTGACGTAAGAAATGAGCTATTACATTCGAGCAAATTTGAAATTTCAATAGAGAAACTGGAAACATACCTTGACGTCATGATTGAAGTACTTGAAGATGGTCGTTCACTCGTTACGTATGAAGTCGCAATGAAGGCTGTAGAAAATATTGAAAAGGTTATAAGATATTTACTGTTATTGTTTGTTCTTGCATAAAAGAAAAACAGCTCAAATAGCATAAAAATAACAAGGTTTGTGGGTAAATGTTAATATATCATTTTAGAGAACGCCTCGGATAATTAAGTATAGGTTAGTGTTTGATAATACATACTAACAAAAATAATTGGTCAAGCCTGCCGCAGGCAGACGACCAATTATTTTTGTTAATGTGTATTATTAAACATTAACCTATTTAATGATCAACATTTTTTTTTATTTTCAACCAAAAACAAGGCATTTTTCTAAATCACCGATCGCTCTACAAGATGTCTACACCTTGTCAAGTTTCTAACATGTCACATTTAGATAGGCTAAATAAATGGCCCTTTCAATATATAATTAGGCACATATTTTACTGAAATATCACAGAATAAATTTTATACCTTTATCTACAGTACCTCTATAAATATCTTGAAAAAAATCTGAGAAAAGTACATTAGAGATTATTAATTGATACAAATTCGTTATTAGCTTCAAGTTATTCACTAACATTTAAAATTCCTAATGATTTGCTCATTTGAAAAACAGTGTACGTCACTTTAAGTTCACAGGTAGGGTCCATATACAATGAGTTTTCTAGCCAAAAATGTAAACGTTGTTTTCTAACATCAAGGATTGTTAATGCAGTTGATTTCTATGACTGAAAGAAAATAATGTTTTGGTTACTTTTTCATGAAAATATAAAGTTTAAAACAGTCAGCAATTTACAACAGACATTTTTCTTACAGTAAAGTTACTATGTAATCATTTATCTCTGCGTGCCCCACTTGTATTTTCTATGTAATAAATTAATTGATTGTATCCTCTTATTTAGAAACACCGGACCTCGCTTATTTTTTTACGTTGGCATTGTTTTGCTAACCTATAGATATTTTCACAATTCAGGGTGCAAACCAAACCTCTAACTCCTCCCTAATATAATGCATTATTGAAATTTGTTAGACTGGTTAGACGACAGATTAAGTAAATTTTATTTAGTTAGTACACATTATCCAAAGAAATTTGAAAAATACTTCAATGTGATTGGACAAAAAATAATGTTGATCATTAAGTATTTTACGAGAGATATGTTTACTGTTACTCACAAACCTGTGTTATTTACATTTGTATTTTATTACCCCAAACAAATACTGTAATGATGTAATGATACGCAAATGGTGCACTTTTAATGTAAGCAAAGGCAGGTTGCTATGTACAAATAAAATAGAGAAAAACGGAGTCGGTAAAGAACGTCGTCCAAAACGGTAAAATTGAAAGTATTGCGGCAGCCTACTCAACGGCTGTGTTGAAATTTGCATGTTACCATTCGCATATAGAAGCGCATTTCACGAACAAACTTAATTAAATCGGACCTGCAATATTTTCAATTTTGCCGAGTAAGGTTACTTTACAGGAATTAACACATTTTATACTGTTATAAACAAGTACATATTTATCTCTTTAATGTCACAAACATCGTAAACATTTGAAAGCTAAAAATGCGTTTTTCAAAAAACAAAGCCACTAACACGTATTTACAGAGGAACAGTATAAGAGTGTTTTAGTTCCGTTGCAGGTCAGAAGTAATCAAATAAGTATAACTGAAGTAGAAGCAGAAGAAATGATACATTCAGCAGTGAAAGCAATAGAAGAAAAGCGGCAAGAGGCAATTCAGGAATTAACAAAAGAATGTAACTCACTCGAATGGAAGATGCAATCAAGCATTGCGTTAAAAACTGAATCTTCATGTGAACATCTTCAAAGAGAAACCGACGAGTTGCGAAAGAAATTAGTTAAAGACATGGAAGAACAAACGAAGCATTTAAAACATAGGCATGCCATGATGCTGTCTGAAATGGAAGAAAAGATGACCGATTTTATATATACAATAGCAAAGGAAGAAGGTAAAGAACAACATCTGCGACAAAATGGTGAACTTGGCAACCAAAAGGTAATCATTTGATGCCTCATTTTTATACTTGTCCTAATCATAGGTAATAGGGCACGGAGTAATGGCCATACTAAAAATGCAAAGAATCTTTTTAGGGGTGACTAAAACCGAGTGGTTAAGATAGTCGACTTTTTATCGCTTTCCCTGCTCTGCTATGGTTACGAATCCGTTTGGGAGCTTGTTTTTTATGTGACGTAGTTATCTAGCATCTAGCTAACTGAACTTCGGTGGTTCTTATCATGTGTATGTTCGTGGTTGAAATACCAATACTGCACGAAGGGGCATCTGAGGTTTTCCTATCCCAGTTAACCCTGAAAGTCGCCTTATGATTTACAGTATTGGTGCGACGTAAAAACCAACCATAAATTGATCATATTACGGATAAGATGATAACACGTATATGAGTTCACATACCTATAACTTCTTAGCTACAAAGTTACATTAAATGTATATCTATTATTGGTATTTGCGTAAGAGAAGTTGTCTTAAAATTCAAAAACTTAAAACTAAGATATAAGCATTTGTTTGTCATTGTTGTTTTTTGTTTAGAATTAGACAATATTTGAAATTTTTTATAAGAGCTAAATTGCATACAAAGCAAAAAATGTTTAAAAATTATTTTCAGATGAAAGCTTGCGATCAAACAGGACAAACGAAAGCCACTTTGACAGGTAGTGGAATGATCATTATTTTTAACAATAAGAAGAAAAAGTTCTACATACTGTTAATTAAGCATCATAATTTTATGTCACATGTTTTATAAACTCTTCGATACTCCTTTTTTTTGGAGTAAATATATCCGTTTACATCCGAAAAATGAATGATTGTTCGATTTTTTTTAACATCAAAGAGATAAAACAGCTGTGTCTTGTTTTCTTTGCTCGTGAAATAATTTCACTTTTTACTATGACTGCTCATTGCTATTTTTTTTCTTACACGAATTCAACGAGTAAAAACTGCTACGATATGTTATTTTTCCTATTTATTTACAGAGGTCCAGCAACATCTTATCAATTACTATCGGTCTTACTACCTTACAACAGACGTATCCCCTCTTCTTCGCGACAAGGATGTTCATGTAGATGAGGTATACGTCCCGTTAATATTTAGAGTAACTAGAATGGGAAGGACCAAAACAGAAAATCCTATCATCGATTCATTAACTGATCTATTCACGCCAAATAACAAACGGCTTGATAATATTTATCTAAGTGGAGAGGGTGGCATTGGAAAAACAACGCTTTGCAGAAAGTTAATATCATATTGGTGCGCTGCTCACAGTTTGAACAACCGGAGGACCAAAATTTCTCAAGAAGACAAAAAGGCTGTAGAAAAAATGAAAAACTTTAAATTTCTTCTGTTCATTTCACTTAGGCATTTAAACAAAGAAACAACTATTGAAGACATGGTAGAAAACCAGCTTTTGTCAGGATTTCAGCATAGGCAGTTCATAAGAAGAACTCTTCAAAGGAAACCAAAGACTTGCTTATTTGTACTTGATGGACTTGACGAATGGGAACCAAAAGGTCTAAGTACACATCCGGCTATTCCGGAAGGTTTACCTATTTATAAGAATTGTTACACGAAGCTATTTACTTCAAGGCCGTGGAAAATTGAAAGCATACGACCAAAGCTTACTGAAAATGACATAGAACTTGAAGTCGAAGGAATAAGCATGATTAACTCAAAACGTCTTGTGAATGTATTGCTGTTACTAGTCCGGGAAACTGCTGAAGAATCTGAAAGGTTTTTCGCTGAAATTCAGAAAAAAAAGATGCAACATCTTCTGCCAATACCATTGTTGCTTAAACTTCTTCTATGCCTTTGGTTAGAAGACAAGTCGCTTGAAAAATCGTCTACCAGTATTTACTGCGCAATTCTTGATCTTTTACTTTCTACAGCAATGAAGAAAAATCGCTATGATGAAGAATTTCAGTTATTGCTTGACAATCTACAGGAAGAGCAGTTACCAGCTGTATTTCGAAACAAATCTTCTTGTAAGAAATTCTCATCTGTCATAATGACCTTATCCAAACTTGCATTTCAAGCATCGTTTGCCGAGGATAGGGAAAAATCTTTAGTATTTACAGACTCGGATCTTTCGTCATATGGATTATCGCAAAATACAATCCGGTTATGTTTGACACTCGGCTTACTGTCTCAAAAGAAATTTCTCGGAATTTCAAATATGCTTCCAGTAAAAAAGGTTTCATTTCTGCACAAGTCTTTACAAGAATTGTTTGCCGCTATTTATATCTCAATGCAGTTTTCAGCAGAAACAGAGAATCATATACATCGTGCATGTTCAACAGTTGAGAATGTGTTTGAATTTTCAAACGTGTTTCTTTTTTTGAGTGGGATGAAGCCATCTATTATGTACCATATATCTGGCCATATTTGTAAATTAGCTGATAATGACACAGTTATTGAGCAATATCGTGATAGAAAGGGGACGGGATTTATAGTAGGGTTATCAAAAGTTCGTCGACTTCAAGCAACTATATGTACTTATTTGCAAGAAAGTAAAAAAAGTAATTATGATGAGGCAATAATACGGCTAAGAGATATAGTGTTTGAAGGAAAATTGTCGCTTGTGTTCAAGACTATGAATGCAGCTTCCGTATCAATTTTGGACACACTTTTTAACATTACACCTTGTAGCATTGCGACTCTTACTTTAAGAAATCTTGTTTTACCAGGACCGGTTTGGCAATATCTTAAAAGTTTAGATTCACTCCATACAATAATATGTGATATGAACAGTGTGCCACGTGATTGTTTAGTTACCATTGTGTATAAGTCAAGGTACACGATAAAACACATACACCTAGCTGGGTACAGGGAAGATTCTGAAGTTCGAGAGGTGTATTTTCTTCATAGGGATGATATATACCAGCATGGAATAAGACGGGATTTTCTTGATAAGCTCTTAAAAAAGGCAACATGTATAAAAATTGAAGACTAAATATACTTTTTGCAATAAAATGTTCCTGTGACGATATCGTTGAAACTGGTAATTGATCGTAAAAGCAAACTAATTAGTCATCTTTTCATTTTAAAAAACTACATGTATAATCTATAAGATAAGTTAGACTATCAAACATATGTTTTTATGTTTAACGATGGATGAGTTTTTTAGTGATTTAAAGCTATATTTTCTAAAACTCCATTAGGTTATATGTTCAATAGTTTACTTTCATTTACAGTGAAATTAAGTTTGTGTCCCAAATTTGACTTAGAAACCAAGATATTTGCATCCAGAGTGCCAATCAATTTATAAACAGCAGAAAAATCTATAAAATAACGTCTGCCTGTTATGAAGATTTAGCAAAAATACATAAAAAGTATGATTTGTGGTTATTGTTCTAGTTTAAAGTACAGGGATATTTTGTTTTTTCTAACTTTTTTCTAAAAGTTAATCATGATCAGGGATGGGCCTCACAGGGTGAATACAATCGAAAGTGCAGATATAAATAAACATTAGAATGTGCACCTTTAATATAAAAGATAGAGCTGTTAATAGAATTGGGTTTTTGGTAAATACGATTTGGAGGTTACTTCTTATAAAAAATCAAAGTTGAAAATGTACATATTGTTTGTTTTTTGTTTTATGTTGTTTTTTGTGTTTTTTTTTCTTTCTTTGTTTCTTTCTTTTTTCGTAATTTCAATTATGGTTCCGGTCAAATGTATTATTTCTAAATGCCTTGGGCGAAAATTACTTTTTTCTTATTTATCGTTTTATTTTTTAGAAAACAAAATTTTGTCTAAATTCATATGCATGGTGGTATAAATGTAGGGGATTCTATCAAACCAAAAGAATAAAATCATTTTAAAATAGATCAACATTCCATTGCACGATGTTATATTATTCGTATATACAGTGGAAATAAATAAATAACTTGAAATAACATATATTCATATTTTCTATATTCTTTACAATTTTGATCTATATAACATATTTTTAGAAAAAATGAAAACAAAAACAGATTAAAACTGTATGTTCAAGATATTGCCCTGGTTGATTTGATAAAAAAGGGAAGAAAGGAAAAAAGAAGAAGAAAATTATCTATTGACCTGTCTTAAATAAGGAAGAAACTTGAAAGGTGTGTTAGAGAATCTGCTTTTTCATGATCTCTCGTGAATTGACCCATTTAAAACGAGTCAGCAATTTTCACCTTTTTACTATTGTTTTCATTGCTCCCGCTGGATCTTGCTTTCCTCATATAATTTCCTGTTTTAAATACACCAGTTAGGTCATATTAACACCAAGCGAATTTCTAAAAATTGTCACGGTTTCAGAAGGCGAAATTATTAACTTAAACATAGAAATTATCATGCAAATTAAGATATAAAAATGAAAACTTATGACCATTACAAAAGTACTTGATGCTTTAAAGCAACAATTAAGGAAACCACATACAACGACCCGAAGAAGCAAAAGAGGAGACGGTTATAAATACAATAATTTCCAAGAGCTTTAAAAACTGTCCATCATATGCAGTCTTCCATTTGGTCCCATAGATGCAGTTAAAAGAGAAATGCGGAGTGTCCAACTGCAAAATAATTTAACATAAAGCATGTGCTTTGCCTAAAAAAGGTAGGCCGTAGCCTTCTTTTGGAAACACTTGATAACGTAAGAACATACAGAAGATAAATGTCCATGACATTAGTCTTACAAAGTTTATAAGCCTGATCTCTATAGAAAACTGATTTGCACATTTTTAATCACTAGATTTATCAGTTTAAATTAATCATCAATTCTGAGTTACGATGGTAGAATAGTACAACATTATATTCATTTACAATACATGCCCTTAAAAAGTTATTATATACCAAAAGGGGACCTATAAATTTTGAATATTCATTACTTCACTGAATGATACTAAATATGTATGTAAATCGATTTTTAATTGTGACGACACTATATTGATGCACGGACGACCAATGAGACCATTATAAAAATAAAATGTTGCAGGCTTCCCAAATAAAAGAAAATTTCTTTCGGATGATAAGGTTAACTATGCAACTCTGATTGGTATCTGACACATGTATGCATGGCCAATATGCAAGAGCATTCTTTCCAGTTTTTCACATGCATGAAAAGAAAAACACGAACGCCAAGTTGTATAAATTTACGAGTAGGTTACCATCTGATTCAACAAAGATATTTAATTTTACAGTTAGAATTTCATCTGGATAGCGGAAAGTGCTATGATACATAATAATATACATATAATCCAATCCTGTAATGCATCCGAGAAATCTCTCAGCAATTTAAAAATTAATCTGGTAACTCACGTAGTAGCCAAAAGAATGGATTTTACCTAGATGTTTTGAAAACTGTATTTCCAATAATTAATATGAAAACAACAACAACAAAACACATCCACATTCAGAAAACGCAGCCTACAATATAAGAGGTATACGCCCTGGAAGAGACCATCTTTAATGCTATAAAAATGTTTGTGAAGTTTCAACACATTCCACTCAGAAGCTTTGTGTGACTCTGTTCTTGGAATATTCAAGCTAAAAACAAATGTGCTTTATATGGTAGTGTTAAATGGTACAGTTATTGATATCCTTTCTCAGGTGCCATGGTACCATAAAGTAGAAAAATAGAGAGAAATAGAATCCTGAAACATCGTCCATACGGCACTTTGATAATGTTACCAGCTCGGTTTAATTGAGCCATTGAGTATGCTCATGGACAATTACAAAGATGGTAGTCGTATTGACAAGACCTAAAATATTTTATATATTGTTATTCATGCAGTATCAAAATGACTTATAAAATGTACGTATACTTTATATCAAAAACAAAAATCTGATTTTTGTTATACATGTATTATCTATAACAATATATAACAAAAGAATCAGTTTTTGTTATTTTTTTTTTTTTTTTGTTATTATACTGTATGATATCATATCGCATGAATAACAAGATTAAACATATTTTCAGTTTAGGTCAATGCGAGTAGCACCCTTTTTAACAATAATGACAAAACATCAGATTTGTTTCGCTTTTTTATATTTGGATATAAATATTGCATGAATAACAATATTTAAACTTATTTAGGTCAAATCAGGCCTGGGACATAAAATACCTCTTTTGTCGCAGCCTGGTCAAATCAATGCGACTATATAGCACCTTTGTTCCACTTTAGATCATGGCTGATGTCTACACTAACGTTTCTAGCTTACAACACATCTGATTAAGAGGGAATATAGAATCCCTTTAAAATAAAAGGTCACAAGGACTTTGCAACAAATATTTAGCAAATGAAAAATATATGCATGGCCGAGTGGTTAACGCGTCGGACTAGTAATAATAATGATAACTATATAGCCGCGTGGCTTCAAACCCCTTCAAGTCGTTGTTTCCTTGAGCAAGAAACTTTACACTCATTGCTCAGTTCTGGTTGGTTCCAGGAACGGATTCGAAAGTGTGTTTATAAGCTTCTGGCTTCCTACACAATCGAACTAAAATAAATTCTGTGTAAATAGAGACATATATAATATATGTACTTAACGTATCGTTTCCTTTTTTATTCGATTAGTTTTGTATTATTTCAAAGGAATATGATTCTTTGAGTAACAATGTTCTTTTAATCAACAGCTCCGTAGACAACAATGAGGAATTTGAAGTAAATAACTATATTATTGTTCTATATAGACGTAAATGTTCATTTTATACTGTAAATCGTATGATGATAGTGTGTTTAATACTTTTATTAATTTGTCAGTATTCCAGTTTAATTGGTAAAGGTGCAAGGTGATAATGTAATGAGATTTCGCGACATAGTCTGATTTGTTTACGTTAAACAGCACAGACACTTGAGGGGTCAGAACGGTGACCTATCACTCGGCTTACCCGCCCTTGTAACATGTCAGTCAAAAACTTTGAACATAATATGAATAAGGCAAAGCCTCAAGCGAGCTCTATGACAGAAATTATAGACCATTTTAATTTAAAACTACATCGGCACCTTCACATTTTATGTTTTTATTTTAAATACTCTTTGTTTCTGCATGCATTTGGCAGAACAATTTACTCGACACAACTATATATGGCCATTTCATGTTTTATATGATCTTTTTTTCCTATTTAAAAGTGCCATTCGGTGTTTTATACAGTGCTGTTTCAGGGCCTTCCCCAGGCCAATTTAGCGCCCGGTGCGCTTGTTTTTCCGTTTACAAATCACCGGGGCGCTTGGATTTTGGCTTGCATGTTGATCTTAGCGCCGGGGCGCTTGCATTTTGACTGCAGGAGAAACTTCTTATCAACAGCGCGTGCTACATTGTCGTATTGCGTCATCGATCAATTAATCTCGTGTTATGACAGGATGTGTCTAAAAACATATGACCGCTAATAATGCACAGTATTTGTTGATGTAATTAAAGAGCAATCTGTTTTTGAAGAACTTAGCAATTAATTGCTTTTGATTGTAATCAATTATCAGATCAACGGTGATTACGGATTATGGATAATTTATGTTGCAATAAGCGTGTGTTTTATTGGTTCATGGGAGGTGCTAGAAATGCGATGTGATTTAGGTAAGATTGTATTGTTGTTTCAAAAAATATATAAATTTGAGTACTTGAGGACAACTTCATTCTCAAAAAGTTTTTAAAGAGTCTGTTTCGTAACTTATAATAACTTTTGAAAAAATGTCTGGCGCTAAGAAAAGGCCTGCATCAGGATCGATTAGCATTACAAATTTTTTAAGTAAGACGATTGAAAATCAAACCGAGTGTAGAGACACTTTAATTATGGGATGTACAAGTTCCCCTTCTAAAAAAAATGAAAAAAGTGAGATGCACTGGTTTTGATTTAAAGTGGAAATCGGAATTTCCTTGGGTTAAAGAGGTTGATGGAGGTACATAATGAATTTTGTTTGTTCAAATAGTTAGTTAAAATTTCATTTAACACAGTACTATGTGTTTAATATTTTACTTTCTCTTTCTGCTATTTTTTGTGGCATATCTGCATAAAAAATGTTGCACTTGCAAAACTAATTTTTTTAAACATTTATTCTTGAATGTTTGCTGTAGTTTAATGCCTTCTTAAATATATTTAGTTCATTTAAACTTGTCTTTTTCACAAAGTTAACATTTAAAAAGCTGAAAACAGTTATAAATTGTCCGTTTGTTTGATATCTTCAGGCCCGGGATGCTATTTACACTACTGTAAAACCACTTGTGACTGGTACACTGTCCATTCTGCAGTATCTGTAGACCATGCCAGGGGAGGCCTACCAGAGTGCAGTGCAGAGGGTAGAGGACCTTCAGGCCAAAGGGTTCAACATCAAGCCTCCTGCTGAACAAGAGACTGTCAACTTTAGAGAGAAGGTAAATTAAATTTTGCTTAATCTAAAATTTTATTAACATAGAGAATGCAGAAGTTTCCCTATATGTTGTTATCAAGTTTTCTAAGCTGAAATGAACAAGGTGTAATTTAACAATATATTTTTAAACATGACATTGTATTATTTAGGTGTTCAATCCATTTATGGAAAACATTGTTAATAATTAAAGGGAGTAGTTTGTAACTTCATTTACAAGATAAAAATTGTATTAAAGATGCTGGCTGAGCACTTTGGACTTGTGGTTGACAAGACCCTTCATGAGTGGCGCCAAGTTAGGGAATCCATTGCTGACAGTGGGTTTGCAGCAGACAAGGCCATGGAGTGGGTTACCGCAAATTTGAACGTCAGCCACACCAACCTCTTCAAACTTGCTGCTGTGGGGCTGTTGATCCCAGCATCAACATCAGGTGAGAATAATAAAAACTACAAATATAAATCAAATCATA